GGGGGTTGTCTAATTCTGTTTTTCTAAATGCATTTAGAATAATATTTTTGACAGCCATGGTTTTAATCCTCGATTAAATACAAGGTATAGTTCTATAAATTTCACACAGGGATGCTCTTCAGGGAAAATACAAGTTTCATCTATAACAGTGATGGCCAACTTTTTCGGCACCGAGTGCCCAAACCGGAACATGCATGCAAGTGTGCGTGTGCGTGTGCCAGAGTGCAGGAAACCCAAAAACCAGCTGGCTGGTGCGCATGTTCATGCCAGCCACCTGGTCTTCGGGTTTCCAGCATGCACATGCGTGCCAGCCAGCTGGTCTTTGGGTTTCCGGCACTCCGGCATGCCCGGAGACCAGCTGACCGGCGTACATTCACACGCTGGACACCAGAAGAGCAGCTGGCGATGGCACACATGCCCACAGAGAGGGCTCTGCGTGCCACCTCTGGCACGTGTGCCATAGGTTCGCCATCACGGATCCAGAAGAATGAAAAATCCTGACAAACGAGAGTTGACTCTGTAATAAAATATTCTATATTCTATATAAAATATAGACTATAAATTCTGAAATTGACACAAGAATAGACCAAGTACCAAGGGATGATGACATGAAGGGTCACTTATAAACTCTGCTTCCCCAAAGAACCGCGTAGATGAGAAAGGAACAATTGTACAAAAACCAACTACAATGCAATCTATGCTACAATCTATGCTAAACATATGCTTTAGTCAGAAAACTGACTAAAATAAACCCAGCTGCAATTAGAGCCTTCTAGCCACTCCTATTTCTCCTGCAGCTGCAAAATGCTCACACTTTACAATCAATGGACTTTGCCTCAGATTCTTTTTTTCATGTACTTATTAAGCACCAACTGCATCTTGCAAAACTATCATTTTCAGAGGTGATATACACACACACACAAAAGGAACTTGCGTGAGGTAAGGCACTTAGAACAATCATTCCTTTGAAACAGAATGATTCTCAACTGAGAATAGGCCAGGATATGTAGCCTGTCATCTCCAAGATGAATATCATGAAACATGCAAATGGATAAGGCTACAAAACTGAACAGAAATAAAATGGATGTTATTTCCTCGCTTCCCCCCCCCTCCTGCTCCCCTCCTCCCACCACCTTCCCAACCTTCCAGCCATTACTACTAATTGTTTCATGAAAGAGATCCTGGAAAAGTTCAAAACAGGAAAAGGCAGACAAGATCATTCTCACTTGACTTTTCTTTCCCCATTATCAGTAATTGGCCTTTAGGCTGGATATACTGTAGGCTCATTTAAAATAACAATAATAATAAAAATAATACAAGTATTCTTTTTATTTCTAGTGGTCTGCATTGCTTGTTACCTTATTCAACCCTATCTTGGGGTGGAGGGGTGGGGTGGCAAACTGATCTTGACTGATACTGAAAAGCTGAGCAGTTTGGAGCCTCTCTAGATGAGAGACAAGAAATCACAGAACTGGGGTGATAGCCCTCCTGGGTAAACCAGACAGGAAACATGACTAGTTGATGTCCCAAAGGTGCTTTTCCAGGAGGCAACTGGACTTTCTTGTTTTTTCTTTTGCAGATGTTTCGCTTCTCATCCAAGAAGCTTCTTCAGCTCTGACAGGATAGTGGGGAATGGAAGGATTTATATTCCTTGCAGACAGCTGGTCATTTGCATACTTTTAGAGGGTAGCAAGCAATATCAATCCCAAAGTCCAGTTGCCTCCTGGAAAAGCACCTTTGGGACAACCATGACCTGGATGACTGAGAATCTCAACAGACGACTAGTTGATCTAACTCTACTTTACTGTATGGCTACATTAACTTGAAGGAACAAGCTTCCCATGGCCACTTTTTAGTGCTTGATCCATTAGGGTGGGTCTTTCCCAAGTTTCTTTCTTTGACCATTAAGCCAATGGGGGCTCCTGCCTCTCTTCTCTGATTGTTTCCTAGGCAGCATCACTTCCTCTTGTCCCCCAAGATCATCCACACATTCCATTACAGGTAGGCCAGACTGAGAATTTGGGGGAACAAATCCAAGTAGAAGGCAATGGAAAGCTGTTGCTCTAGTGTTGCCAAGGAAATAACTTGGATGATGATGATGATGATATCAATATAGAATACTTTATTTGATGAAGTTAAGTGCCTTACAGTCCAATTAATTTTGGTCTCATAAATTGAAAAACATGTTTCTTCCAAATCAATATTATTTTTAAAAATGTTCTCTCTTTTCTGGATGATGTCCTGAAGTTGTCAAGGCACTTTAAAATAAAGACCCAATACTATCATCATAGGCCCCATGCCTGTTTCATCATGGTCTTCAGAATAGCTCAGGTAAGTCAGCCAAAAGAAAATCTATCAACTTATTAATTTTTAGCCATCCCACCACAGTCGCCGGCAATTTTGATTGCTATTCACATGATGTCTTTAAACTCAGGTTCCAGAAGGCACTTAACAAATGACCTACATTAAGCTGGTGTCCCTACCTGGGATGGTATTTGGACTTCAGCCAGGTATCCATTATATCACTGAACATTTAAGGAAAATGAATCACCTAGGCTACCTTTTTGTGCTGTAAATCTTTAAAAACGCATCAGGAAAGTTGTCTCAGAAAAAAAAAAGCAAAGAAAGTGAAGTTGTCGCCCTGAAGCTAAGAGAACAAAATGTTCTTTCTACCATCTTTTGAAAAGGAAAAAAAAAAGAGTTCTGTAACAAGGGCATAATCTGTAAATATTTCTAAGTCCTCCTGTTTTTACCGGATGGTGCTGAATTATGCCGGCTCTGTGTTGTGCCACTCTACCCTCTGATGATAAACAGCCATGCATCACAGCTTTGTGTTCTGCCTGCCACAGGCACAATACTGCTAAATTAATAGTTAATTCAGAGAACTTGACTGTTATATTACCTTTGGAATTAGAAAATGAAAGCCTTGCTGTCATCTACCTTGAAGGGAAATAATGTAGTCTCCCCATGGATGATGAAATAATATCTTGGAATCGTTCCCATTAAAATCTGGGGCGCTTGCTTCCAAAATAAATGTGCATTTCCTATATGCCGCCCAGAGGCCTTGTAGGATAAAGGGTGGCGGTGACATATAAATATTTCTACATATGTATGCATAAACAAATAAATATACTGCCTATGACCCTGCCAAGTGTCAGACTAGGCAATGCCTTCCAGGTATTATTGTTTTCGTTTTTGTGCATCATTTCTTTATATAGAAACAATTTCTAGTTTGCATAGTTAGCATTTAAGTATGACAGTGTCTTTTTTTTTTTTTTTGAAGAGGAAGGTTTAAAAACAGAATGAATGAATAAAAAATGAACACCATCTTAAAAAATCTCATCACTTAGAATTAAATGCATATTCTATTTTATTTCTGTAACGTTCCAACAAAAATGTCTTCCATACATGGGTCATTGTTGTGATGCTTTCTGACTAAGTCAACATTCAAAATTTGGCTTGACAGATATTTTTTTTTGATTTTTTTTAGTAAAATGAAACTAACCAGCATGGCTTAATTTAGCATATATGTTTTATGAGGGAGGGCTAGTTTGGTGAAGTGGTTAAGATGCCGGAGGAAAAACAATTTAACTGGATTTGCCTTGGGCCAGCCATTCACAATCTGATTTACCTCACAGGGTAGGTATTATGAAGAAAATAAGGGGAAACACCACCTTGAATTTATATATGTACATACATACATATGAATAGATAGGAATAGGAATCTAATAAATTGATGTCTGAATTGCAGAGATTGCATTTATTCAAAAAACAAAACAAACCTCAGCTTGCTGAACAAGAGTTGGTAATTGGAACTCACCGCTGATTTTCCTTGTAGCCCAAGAGAAGGGATCTTATCACAATGCAAGAGTTCAGCATAGGAAGAAATCCAGATCATTGGTCCATCTAAAATAAATCCTGTTACTTTTTGTACAACATTTGTTCTCTAGCCTATCTGAACATGCAGACATGACTTCCCCTATTGATCCTTGGTGAGGCTGGCTCTTGTTATTTCCATTCTGATGAGCTTTATTCTCCCTTCTGGAAACCAAACATAATTTTAGGCTTATATCTACCAAAAAATGCTACTGAAGCATCAAAAGAACAATACTCTTGGCTCTGTTCCTACCAGAATCCTATATCTCCCTGAGTTGTCCATGAGATACAAGAATATTTGAAGGTCCAATCTGAGTCAGTCATCAGGACCACAGGTTTATTCTTCCAAGCTTTTGGACTCTTGCTGGTGGGATAGGGAATTTTATTTCGAGCAGAAGATTTGAGTACTCTTCTGGTAAACTATCTTTGGACCTCTCTAATGTATTGATGTCTGAAATACAGTAAGAGTTCCAGGCAGGTCTGGCAAAGGTTTTATAAGCCCTAGTTTGAAGTATAGCGTTACCAGAGAGAAAACTTCACAAAATAAGATTGACAACTCTTAATGCCTTTTTTGCAATGATGTTATAGTGAGCTCTGGGACTTAGATCTTTTGAAGTGAGTACTCCTAGGTCCTTGACTGAGTGTGGGTCAACTTTTAGATCGTTTCCAGCCAGCAAATATTTGATGTTCTTATTTCTATTGCCAATCTTAGCTCCTTCTCTTAAAATGTCCTCACATGAAATCAATAAAACAGATTGTGATTTTATTTTATGGAAGTAAAATGTGATCCCAGCCTCCCAATAATCTGATTTCATTGACCCATTGAATGGTCTGTATTTTTTCAGTAGAATCCATGTATTTTTTTTCTGTGTCCAGAGTAGCCAAGATTTAGATTGCTTTGTTGTAAAGCAAGCTGCTTTTGATTTGCTTTCTTAATAAGATTCGAACATACCAAAAGAGTTTTCGGATATTGGAGACATAACTTGCTCTCGGCTGAAGAGTTAGGGACTTCTGCCAACACTTAAGCTTTGCCGATAAATCACATGTGGCAGCTTATATAATAGGCTTGGGCTTTATATACTGTATCTGTAAGACAGTGGCATGTAAAAATCTTAATGGGAACAACATGCTCCAATCTGAACAAATTTCACATTGGCCCAGGACTGTACTTTTATAGAACAGTCTAGGCAAAGTGAGTTCATATAAGCCTCTATGGCAAGTTCTTATTTTCATTAAGTCGTGGCTGTCCACCAGCTCCTCTTTTTTAAAAAAGGAAATTGGAAATTGAAAGTCTCTGAAAAACTTGGATAAAAATGGTTATCTACCTGCGGAAAATCACACCGGGTTATATAAGATTATTGCAGGTAAGATATTTTTTCTTTCTCTCCCTACCATCTTTCACTTTTTACTTACACTTCTTCAGGGCTACTGTTTTGGGTCACATAGCAAAAGAATATTAAATTTGGTACAGCCAATTTTCCAGCCATCAATGGGCATCTAATTAAATTTCTAGGGGGGATGCCTTGATTATCAATCTGGATAACTGGCATTATTCTACATTGCCCAGAGCAAAATGTGTGTATTTTGTTATTGTGTTTTCAGAATTTTCTTCTTTCTTCTAGGTTTTTAATTACAAACATTTATTTAGGCTGAATTCAATACCTACTTAGCCCCAAATAAACCCCCATTATATTTAACAGGAATTACTTCTGAGTACAAGAACTTTTAAAATTATCTATTCGCAGACATTCTGGAACACAATGCCACACTATTAGAAAGTGAAGGAAATGTAAATAATTCTAATTATAGTGAGGTTCCTAAAACATTAACACAGTTGAGTAGTAAAATATTTCTGCCTTAATGGAGTATGATTTGAATATTTAAAATATCAATGCAGAAATCAGACTTGTGGAAAACCTTTAATTTTTCTAGCTTTCCCACAGATAGGATTCTACAACAATGCAGAAGAATACAATAGATGCAGGGACAATTTGAATGAAGCAGCTTTTACTGTGATTCATCACATTTCATGGCCTTTAGAGCACCTACCATCTTCTTAATCAGGAAGTCCCAGAGGTGCCAGTGGGAGCGGGGATCATATGCTCAAAATGGCAGTGCGCTGGTTTCTATGGCAATTTAATATAGAATGACTTTCTGGTCACCTTGCACGCCTCCACCTCTTATTAACTGGAATTCTCACATTGTAGTCTCTGTTCTGCATGTCTGTATGAATTTCTGTTCATAATACATTAAAGCATCAGTGACATTCACCAAGGCTACAGCCATAAACTCCCCTCCCTTATGCTTACTCACAATAGTCAGAATGAACTGGAGTAAAAACTCTTTATAAAAAAACCTTTCCCAGTGCCCATCAGCAATGGGGACATCTAGTTTGGTCCAGTGGTGAAGGTGCTGGCCTAGAGATCAGGAGACTGGGAGTTCTACTCGCATGAAAGCTGGCTGGGGGACTTTAGGCCAATCTTTCTGTCTCGGTCCACCTACCTCACAGGGTTATTATTGTGGGGAAAATAGGAGGAGGAAGGAGTATTAGGTGTGTTTGTCGCCTTGAGTTACTTATAAAATAATAAAAGGAGGATAAAAATCTAATAAGTAAATACAGCAATAACTCTTGGTGACACTAGCAATTCATTCCAGCTTCTCATTTGGAAAATCAGAATAAAGCCCATATTCCATAACATTTACATGACTACCACATATGGGATTGGGATTTTCTTTTTTTCTTTTAAAAAAAGGATGCTGACCCTAATCTGTGGCAGGGCACTCTTGTTCAGTGCTCTAAGGCCACACTTTAAATTAGACTCAAGACGCAAGGCAGCCATTCTGCTCCAACCACTGAAGACAGATCGGATCCGGTATATGTAGAAATAATCAGATCCCAAAACAAAGGATTACATAGTAAATAGACCAGGACCTCTGAAAACCAAAAAGGGAACAATTTGGGAAGATGGGGTTTGAGAAAACCGGTGAAGCAAAGCCTCTCAACTGGGAACTGAGGTAGGACTGAGCATGCTCAGTAGCCAGAGAATATGCCATCTTAATTAGAAAAGATAAATGGAAAACCAAAGGGAAAAAGTGGATATTGCAAGGCTCTGTGGCAGGAATTCCCATGCAGATGGTTAGGAGACTCCAATAAAGGAGAATATGTATAGCTCAGGATGGAAATGAGGGGTCCTTTGTGCTCTCTGAGCTTGGTTGTTTTTTTGTAGACGTCTCATTACCCAAGCTAGGTAACATCATCAGTGGTAGTGAAATGTCTACAAGAAAACAACTAACCTCAGGGAACACCAAGACTAGGCAGCTGGATTGTTTTCACACAAGGGCTCTTTGGTATTCCAGATACTAATCTGTTAGCTTCATCTTCTCGCATCTGAATGCTTCAACGGGGAATTTGCTTTGCCTTCTTGCAGACCCAAGCAGCTGGGAAGTTAGCCATCAACCCCATGGATACACTGATACATCAGGCGGCCCTGTTCTTGGGTTTGTTTGGGACCAGCATCTCTACCTACAGCTTAATGCAGCTGGCTCAGAAGAAGAGGAAACCTGTGGATTTTTAATCAGATTTTGGATCTCAAGCCAAAGAGCTAAGCCTGAGCAGCACCCATTGATTTTCACTGTCACTTTCAGAGATAACTCCACTGGCAGAAAGGTGTGCAGAGAGTGTCATCCTCTGCTGTGAATACAAATCCTCTCAATTTGTATTCCGCAATATTTCTTGAAAGGTGGAAGAAGAACCTCAATTATCTCCCCCCTCCGGAAAACAAACTAACAAAAGAAGAAGAGCTAGAAGAAGGAGGGAGGGAAGCATTGCATTTTATGGCAAGATGGATTCCCCAGGACAAGTGATGGATTTCTTTTTGCTGAGCTTAATACACGCAGAAAGATATCTGTATATACACACATCAGTTAAAATCTCATCTAGAGCAGACAGACAGATTGCCAAGTAGAACTGCTTTGTTATTATTCTACCAAATTATTTTGGGCAGAAAGATTAACAGGACAAAAGGGGAGCAACTGAAAGGCTGAAGAAAAATAAGAATGCCTTTCCCCTTCCTCTTCGCACACGAACTGATTGCCATGATTTGGCACCACCATTTCAGCTGAATGCCTGGACCTCAAATGCCAGAGGAAAGTGAAATGGATGGATGCATGTGTAACACTCTGCGCAAAAGATAAACCATATATTAACAGGCAGTTCTATGCAAATGGATGGTTGGTTCTGTGCTGTGTTTTGGGCATGTATGGCAGGGATATAAGTTAGTGCTTAGTGCTTTTAACAACCTCTCTGTTCTGTAGTCATATAGATAATAGTTCTCAGACACAAAGTCCAGTGCTACATCATTTTGTGACAGCTGAAATCATAGGGTTGACCAAGCCTTAGAAGTCATCTAGTCCAGGGGCCCCCAACCTTTTGGGCACCAGAGACTGGTTCCGTGGAGAGAGGTTTTTCCGTGGATCGGAGGGGGCGTGGTTTCATGTGTTGCCTGCATGCAGTGGATGGGGCTTCGCTTGTTTGAGTGGCCCGGTTTCTGGCATGCCGCGGACGGTGCTGGTCTATGGACCTGGGTTTGGGGATCCCTGATCTAGTCCACCCTCTTCTGTTACCCTTTGAACTAATACAGACAGGAAATCAAAATACTTGGTTTTGTAATAGCACTACCTTTATTGTAAGTCTTTTGTAAACCTTGCAATTCTGAAAGTACTTCTCCCTTCCCTGCCTTTACTTTCTAGAGAACTAGTGAGAGTCCCTTCTGAGATGCTTTCTTCATGCCCATTCCTCCTTTGGACTGAGATTTCTCTTATCAGATTGCTGTCTAGGCTGTGGCTCTTCCTCCTGTCCCCCAAGGTTATTCTCACAGCCCATCATGTCTTCAGGATCCATGAGTGTATCTCTAACAGGTGACTATCCAGCCTGAGCAGCAGCTTACCCTACAAAAACAGTCTTCCATGGACACAAACAGATATGTGGAAGATGAGACTGAATTTATTTGGGGATAATTGTAACTGAAAGTTGTATGATGATTTAGTTTCAGGTTACTACTTTAGAAGAAGGAGAGCAACATATTAGATGGATAACTATCACTTTGAGGTAATCTGCAGACCCAACCTTCAGTCAACGTTATGGTCAATGTTATGGTCATAACATACCTCCGGTTATGTTATGGTCAATGAATCTTGAATCTTGTATCAATGAGAAACTGAGTAGCTCTTTCTATGCATCCCATTTACTACAATATGAAACAAAGCAGGATAGCAACCAGATACCCTGTGCAAAGATTGGTTCATTGTAAATTTTTTTAAAAAAAAAACATGATTTTTTTTGTACTCATCATTGTTGTACTTTCTTTGTTAATGGTACAAATCATTTCCTTTGTAAACAGTATTTATGTTTAACCACTGTGGGTCATTGTACACCTCTGTCTTTCTTTAAAAAAAAACAGAATTGCCTAATGCATTATTATAAATCATAAATAGATTTGACATTACAACCTGCTGTATTTTTTTCCGCCACGTTTGAGAACAATTGTGAGGAGTTAGAGAAATTAGAAAATTGGTTTTTAAGAGATTCTTCTCAAGAAAATTATCTAATGTATTAAATTTAATTCCCCACCCAAGCCCACAGTTTATCATGTTTAATTCCTTGCCAAATAATCCTTTATTCATTCTTCATTCTCAGGGAAGTTAGCAAACTTTAAATGAATCCTCTGGCGATATTGGAATGTTTTACAATGGAAAATAATACATCTTGTTATATGAGACAGATTGTTATTATTCCTTAAACAAATGTACACTGTTTTTGGATTGGATTCAGAATTTCAGAGGTCATTTAGGCCAATGTCCAGCCCCTATTTAGTGCCGGAATCCAAATGCAAGCATTTCCGACAAACAGCTTTTCGGTTTCCATTTGAACACCTCCATTGAAATCCATAATTTCTCTGGGTCATTGGCTCCACTATGGAATTTTGTTAGATTTTTGCTAAAATTCAAGCAGGATCTCCCTTCTTTTGTAACTTATATAACTATTATAATTTGAATTCCTTACTTTGTCTCCTGCATCCTGGCATTAGGATGATCAGATCTTACCTTGTGTTGGGGCTTATTTAGCATGTATTTTAGTGGTGCAAAAGTGAAGATTGAAAAAGTCATGAAATGTCATTTCTTATTTAGAAGAGAGACACATTTTCTGTAGGTGAAGCAGATCCTGCACTTCATCTGCTTCCAAGCCTCAGAGGCAATAAAAGCAATATTTCATCACACGGCAGGTTGACTTGTGTGAATGTGCATTTGTTTCACTTTGTTAAAGTTCTAATCCTTTGGGAGAAAGTTTCTAATTACAAAATAGGTTTGATATTTTGACTGCAGCATGAAAGGTGAATAATTAAATGTGCTAAGGATACTGATTAACAGCATTGTTTATGATTATAGCTTTAAAATTATTCTGATTCTGTATTCGGCAAGGGACGTACAGAGATGGAAGCACAATTTGTATCCTCAAAATCAGCCCAGTTAGGCCCAGATCTAAATGCTCTAACACTGTTTTTCAAGCTTGGCATCTTGAAGATGTGTGGACTTCAACTCCCAGAATTCCCCAGCCAGCCATCATGGGAGTTGAAGTCCACACATCTTCAAGCTACCAAGGTGGAGAAAAACTGCTCTGACATGACAGCAACTGTATGCATATTTCTCCAAACATGGGCTCTTATACTGTACTTTATACCATAACCTTGTTTAGTAATCATAATTGGGACTGGCAACTTGGTCTTTAAGTGAAGCAGCTGCTAAGTGAAACCACAATGGTACTTATGCTCTTACTTAGGTGTCCTTTGCTTTACTGACCTGTGAAGTTCATAAATGTGAGGATTGGTTGCAAAGTTACCTTCTCATCATTGTCACAAAGCAAATGGTCAGTCGCTAAATGAGGACTACCTCTACTGCCCATAAAGAACAAGTCATGGAATGAAGAACAGATATGGGACAATCCCATGCAAGCAAAGGATATGCCTTGTGGATGTGGGCCAGGATGAAACCTTTGCCTCCGAGCTCCACTTAGCAATAACACTTAAACTTATATACTGCTTCACAGTGCTTTACAGCCCTCTCTAAGTGATTTACAGAGACAGCATATTTCCCCCAACAATCTGGGTTCTCATTTACCAACCTCAGAAGGATGGAAGGCTAAGTCAACCTTGAATCTGTCAGGATCGAACACCAGGCTGTGGGCAGAATTAGCCTGTAATACTGCATTCTAGCCACTGCGCCAAATAAGCAGGATGATAGAGGACGTTTCAGTTCCAAACAGCGTGATTTCCATAGTGTCACCCTATGCACATAGACTTTAGTCTCCTGATTAGAATAAATGTATTTTACCCAATGTTGTAACAGTAAATGAGCAGATGGGTAACTGCATTTACTCCCACTGCCCAATAAATGTGCCTCGTTATCCCCAGTTTGCTGATTCCACTCTGTGCACATACAGTTTTCACCACCATGGGGCAGTTAACAATAACATTCAGACTTATATACTGCTTCATAGTGTTTTTACAGCCCTCGCTAAGCAGTTTACAGCCTATTACCTCCAACAATCTGGGTCCTCATTTTATCAACCTCAGAAGAATTGAAGGCGGAGTCAACCTTGAGCCAGTGAGGATCAAACTCCTGGCAGTGAGCTGAATTAGGCTGAAGTAGCCTGCAATACTTTATTCTAACCATCGTGCCAGCACATTGCTCACATAGAGGATTACAATATTACCTAAGATCTTTAGAAATGAAACCTAAATCTCTCTAAATTGGATGGACTACCTGATCACATCTAACCATGTTGTAGGTCCCATCTGCTAAGGAGTTCCATCTGATAGGACCCAAATTACATGTTTCTTCTGCTTTGCCTCTCACTCTCTGGAACATCATTTCCCCCTTAAGTTGAGGTTAGCCTTCGGAAGGCCCTGAGAATGTGGTTCTTCCAGTAACATTGGAGAATCCCATGAGGAGCCTACGATATGATTATACTGTGTTTATGAATGCTTTTCTCCAGCAATTCTGCTTTTTTTTTTTTTTTTAGTATTTTAATAGTTGGGACATTATTTTTAATTGTTGGTTGTACACCATCTAGAGTCCCATCCAGTAAGATAGATGGCCGTATAAATTTGTTAAATACATAATTAAATTTAATGGGAAGGTCTCTGTGTTTTACTTCTGGTCTAATTTGAGCTAGAACTACTTGATATACCCTCTTCCTTTTAACTTACGTTATTTAGCTTACATAACCTTGGCAAAGCATCAATAATTTAACACAAAGTACAAGTCTTGCTGCTCCATGCTTGGGAGGTTTGAAACAATTAACTGAACATGTTGATATTTCCCAGAGATATATTTAGATGGGCACAAAGTTTGCACATTTATTGGCGTTCTAGTACAGGAGATTTATTTATTTATTTATTTGTGTGCTGCCCATCTCGTCTAGAGGCAGCTCTGTTCCAGGGCTTTGTCACTTCCATAGAAAGCTCTGCTGAGTTCAGGACAAATTGTTTTACAGTGGTAATGTATAGAGCAAATGGCCGGTACATTTATTTCTTAATTGTCCAAAAGGCCAAATATTGCATTTACTTGAATGGAAGATTAGAGGTTCTTTATTTAATCAGATAGTTTAACCTAAAATGGGAACAATTTGGTAGAATATATAATAGGGGCATAATAATCTCCCTTTTGATAAATTCTATGATTTATATGCATGGTGCATTCTCTCTCGTGACAAAGAACATGACACTGCAAATGATCTGAAGCTGTGTTGAAGTTGTGTTGTATTGAGGTTAGAAAAGCACTGAAAGGCTGATATTTATTAGTCACTGGGAATGAATGTTACTGTTGTAAATGCTCTCATAATTCATAACCTCTGGAACAGGCTGCATTTTGCTGGCATCACTCTTTTCCAACTTTCTTGCATGGTCTCTGAAATGACTGATTGAGAACCTCTGCTTTAGGAAAATATTATCTTCGAAGCTTAAGATGTTTCGCATCACCATTGAAGAATCAGAGTATGACTTGTGAAAATTTCATTTGCATTGTCCTTTGGACTGCCTTAGGTTTATTGCTTCCATCCAATTATTGAAATACTTTACCTTTTAGGAGTCGAAGGTTTTTATAGCTCTTTGTTTCCTATTGTGAATCTGCACCATTTTCTAATTTTATGGACTGAGGGGTGACAAGCTAAGGAGCAGAATAGAAAGAAGCAACAAAACAATACTTTTAAAAATAAAGAAAAAGAGCATGCCTTTCTCTTCTTCTCATAAATATTGCTCAGAAAATGGAATCACCCACCAAAGCAAGCTAAAATTTAGCTTAATCAAATGACATTTTAACAAGGCTCATATTCTAACCACCAGAAAAAAAGGTCTACAAATATTTACTGCAACTTCTAAGATAGAATTTGATTTTGATACAGTAGTCCTGCCCTTCCTTGCTGCCAGATGACAATCAAGAGGAATTTTCCAGCTGAAATCTGGTAACCTTAGGATGAGTGTTTAATTGGACATCCTAAAAAGGAACAGGATTTTAATTAGGATTGGCACAAGTTGTTCTACTGATTTCCTTTTTAAGACTTGGCACCTGGCTGTAATTGCTTCAGAATTAATAGAATGTGTGTTATCTAATCCCTCAATGGGATTGTTACAAGCGTTTTACTGGTACCACAAAGAAGCCAAAATTATATAGACTTTGGAAGACTGCCTGTATTATTATAAGACAGAGCATCTCTCCCCACCCCCAAAAAGGTTTTTTTTATGATTGTCATGTGGTTTTTATATTTGTGTGGATTTATATTTATATTTAGTTTATTTTGAAGAATTAATATCTTATTTTTCTTAAAAACAGGAAAAACTGCGTAACTTAGAGCAATAATGCTGTCAAAACAATAAATGATAAAAGCAGAGCAAAATAAAAATAGTAAAAAATATTAGACTTTCAGAAACAATATTGATTTAAATTATTAATTTAAAAAGTTACAGAGAAATAGAATACTGCAACTTAGCACAGATGGAGAACTCTACCAACTAAACTGTATATCAATTATGTAATCACAACTTATTTCAATCTTACATCTGAAGAAATTTCCCAAATGTATTATTTTCTTATAAACAATTTGAACAGAATTTCCTATTTTATTAGTTTCATTCATCTGGTGCAGTTATACTGAATTGATTTTAATTTGAATAACAATAAAAAAGGAAAAGGAAAACAGAAAAAACATTTGACAGCCTCATCAAAATTAATTATACTTCAAAGTAGTACCAATCAACCCACACTGGTCTGAATACTTTGAACTGACAATACTTTTTAAAAATCTTTCTATAATAGAGCTACCATGTTTAAATCACAAAACCCTGAATTAACTTTGCTTCAGTGTATTGCATTTTGCAGGCCAAATAAGTTAGTTAGGCTGTTCAATAATGAATATCTACCTTACAAACCTGTTCATATTCTTTAGATCATAAGA